CCTTTTGCAAGGTCAATGGGGGAAGCCTGATCCACTTAACAACTGCGTTACTAACTTAACAGCCTCAGGGATTCACTTAAAAACGACAGGAAAGGTCATTAAATGGGACAACGCTCATGTAACCACTTAATCCTCGGGAGTTTTGGGATCTATTGCGGTCACATGTCGACACTACCTCTATTCCAGGAGCCTTGAGGAGGGGGCTTATGCAGTCAACACAGTGACATCCAGACTCAAGAGGAAACAAGGTGTCAACCCTGAAGCTGGCCTGGCCGAAGCCATTTTGGAGCTTTAGTGCTGCCACAATGGAGCTGAGGGATAGGGAGGGGGGGATTAGAGATACCTGGAGCTGTGTAGTCAAAACAAAATACTTTCTCTTGAGAACCAAGGACATTCTCACACTGGACAGAGGAAGGAGGAGTGATGTCACCAGACCGGCAGATGCTGCTTTGATTGGGCCACGTGACTGATTGTTTGGGGTTGAGAGCAGGGGTGAAATCCACTTACCTTTGCTACCGGTCCGGTACCAATGTGAGCGCACGCTCTAAGTCACTCCAAATCTATCCTGTTAATTTTAGCTGGACTGCATCGCACACCTCTCATGTCATTTAAAAAGAAGGCAATGCGCAAAGTGGCAACGGCTTTTCTCACCGTTGTTTTGTCTCGAATACAAATTGCCTAGTTCCCCCCCCCCCCAAACTACTTTTTAAGCAGCGGAACTGCAGACAGGCAACACCTCCCTGGTGAGGTTGTTATCACTGGCGAAACATAAACAGCTTGAAACACAAATCCAGAGATGTCTAATATTCAAAAACATGTGGGGGTTTTTTTTCCCTAAAAAGAAAAACAACTGATCTTGTGTCTACTTCCGTGTTGCTGCTGTGAGTGCTTGCAAAAGCACGGAAAGGTAGCGAAAACTCAAGAGAATTTCCTTACCTGTGACAAGATCCGAAATTATTACACAACCACAATAGCTCCAGAGCCCAGAAAGGTAATGCTATCCCATAAGACATACCCAACAGCTTTTCAGAGGGAGGGAAATTGAGAAGGCACTTTATTATGGATTTATTGCATCGAGTTGCTATGGGTAGTGAGATGGGTGGCATATAAATTTAATGAATGTGTGTGTGTGTTTGTGTGTATGTGTATATGTGTTGTGGCCCGGCAGGAGCCGTTGGAGCTGCCGCCAGACTCCGACAGTGAGGGGTCTTATGAGTCGGCTCTGGAGGAGGTGGAGGACCCTGGACAGGGTTCCGACTCTGAGCAGGGCGCGGAAAGACTGGTTGGCCACCGGGTGGCACCTGAGCCTTAGATCAGTGAGGAGGAGACAAGAATGAGTGATCCCGAAAACACCTGTGAGTTGTTCCGGGATGCACGCCGTCGAAGGGCTACTCGGCGTCAAGAACAACTGCGTAATTACAGGAGGTGATTACGCTCAGATGATGTTCATTAAGATCCTCTCCTGATTATAAA